GGCAGAGGGGGGAGCGTGGGGGAGAAGGAAAAGGGCGAGGCGGGGGCGGGGAAGGTCTCGCGGGTGGCGATCTCGAGAGCGCAGATGGCGCGCGGCGATTGGCTGTGCAGGGCGGCGGGCGGCAGCGTGCGGGGCGCGGGCGCGGCGCGGCCTCAATACCTACCGTACAAGTACAGTACACAACTGTAGTCTCGCATTTCCCGTACCCAAGGGTAAACGGGAAATGCGTACGCTTGCTGTACGGGAAATGCGAGACTACAGTTGTGTACTGTAGGCGTCTTCACACTTTGGGAAATCGGCAATGTGGGAAATCTAACAATTGTAGGCGTCTTCCGGCGTTTATCATACTAGGATTGTGCACTGCACACAGCTGTAACGGGGTCAGAACCTGCTATAATACAATGCTGCAATGGCTGTAGGTCGACGATCGACATAGCCGATGCCCGCCGATGAATGCGAGATACGGCGGTCACGTCATCGCGAGAACGGCCGGTCACCTCTGAAAAATCATCCCTGCTATGTCATCCCTGCTATGCGGAGGCCGAATCATCTCTGGGATAAACTCCCTATTGAATCGGTGGATGAATATCACATATCACATATCACATGACGAATACTGTACTGTGCATAGGACAGTCTGTCCCGCATGCAACACACTTAACCAACGAGCGACGACGAGTAAAAACCTGGAGTCATCGGTCTCCAGTTCACACAGGTTTAGTGCATGGTTGCTCTAGATTTTTGGTCAACGCCAAAATACACACAAAATACACACACAGGTTTAATGCATGGTTGCCCTACCCTTCGAAGGGTAGATTTTAGTCAACGCCAAATAGCTCGGACATGCAAATTATTTGAAACAATGCGCATGCAGCGGGCCAGGGGCATCATCACATTCCGCCGCGTCTCATGTCGAGTCATGAGTCATGACCACCTCCCGCCGCGTCCCATGACCCATCATGGTGGGATCGACAGCAAAAGGTCACGTGAGCTAGAAAATAAGAAAATAAGAAAACCAAATAAATTTATCATGGCAGCGGCACCCATTGCCGTAAAAATCGGTAGAGCTTGTGACGGGGGGGAGTAACAAACTCCGACTGCCAGCGGGAGGCAACCCGCTGGCAGTTGCTTTTCTACTGCCCAGGGCGTTCTCGAGGAGCTCCGTCTGCTTACTTCGAAACTTCACATCAACCTCCCCCCACCCCCCCTCCCACCCGCCCCACCCGAATCACCCGTCCCACCCGTCCTATTTAAATTACCCGGAGCAATGTAGTTGCTTCCTTCTCTTCAGTCTTCAGTCGGTCATCTTCACCGTCCTCGACACGCTTCATCCAACCTCAACCGACAAGCAGCACGACCCACTGACTGAACACCACCCTTGTTTGCCATGTTCGACTGCACTAACCCCACGCCCCGTCGCCTCGCCCGCACTTGCTTTCTCTTCGTCTCAACTCTCACACTCTCGCTCACCGCACACTCGTCCGAAGCCATGCCGCTGCCCTCACCCGCACCGCCTAGCCTTCCAGCCCTGCCGACTGCAGACCCCAATCACGACCTACCGTGGGAATCCAACTATTCCTTTCTCGCCTTGTGTATGGTCGTAATTGTCAACGTCGTCTACCTCGTCCGATGGGTCATTAATTGGTGTTGCAATTGTCCCACGGACCTCCTTCACTCCTCAACCTCGCCAGACAACCACGTCCTTCCGCTGGCTATGGCGCATTCGACAAGGGCGGAGGATGCCAGTAGAGGTGCGCACTCCATTGTCGAAGAGACCCTTTCTTCCATCAACCGCCGAGTTACTTCCGTCGAGCACAGTCTAGGCCACGAGACGTTCAGACGTCATGTCCCTGAGCTCAATGAGTAGGTCTATTTTTTTGTTTCTATTTGTTGATGCTGTGTGCCCCGACCTCAGCACACCCATCTACTTTATAAATGTTTTTCTGGACGTGCATGGAGTTCTGTGTCGGTTTTCCACGAGATTTGCTAAATTCGTTGTTAGCTGACCAGTATCGTTTGGGCATGGATAAATGGCGTTCGCTTTGGTTGGCAGCTGCGTCGAGATTTTGGATACGTTTGATCCGGCTCCCTTCCACTTCCACGAACCCTTCTTCCATATTCCAGGGGGGAGGGTCGCCTTGTTAGGCTAGGCTAGTGTCTATCGGACCATTGTCCTCAAATGAGGACATTATGCGACCTATTTTTTTTTTGACTTCCGCTTCCTCGACAAGACAGAAAAAGATACCCGCGCCACCGTACTTGACTTCTGACATGGGGCCAGAAAGAACTTGGTGAGAATTGCTTGTTCTTCCTGGTTGTGTTTAGATATGTATGGAAAAGACGCTTTTTTAAACCACCTTAAAACCGCATGTAAAATAACTTGGAAACCAAAAACGCCAGTTCAAAAAGGCAACTTGGTACTCAATCTGCATTATCTTCGTAAGCTTTTTGCGGATTCAAAGCTGCTGCGAGAAAGGAATAGTTGGATTCCCACGGTAGCTCGTGATTGGGGTCTGCAGTCGGCAGGGCTGGAAGGCTAGGCGGTGCGGGTGAGGGCAGCGGCATGGCTTCGGACGAGTGTTCGGTGAGCGAGAGTGTGAGAGTTGAGACGAGGAGAAAGCAGGTGCGGGCGAGGCGACGGGCCGTGGGGTTAGTGCAGTCGAACATGGCAAACAAGGGTGGTGTTAAGTCAGTGGGTCGTGCTAGTTGTTGGCTGAGGTTGGACCAGATTGGCCCAGATTGGTTGGTGCCAACGCAGCTGCCAGCAGCTGCGTCGAGATTTTGGATGCGTTTGATCCGGCTTCCCTCCGCTTCCACGAACCCGTCTTCCGTATTCCAGGGGGGAGGGTCGCCTTATATAATAAGGCTGCTTTGAAAAATCCAGACGCGGTCACTTGAGTTAGACAAGTGTACACGTGTGATGTGTGGCAGTACCCCAGTGGCAGATAAACGAGCCAACCCTCGTCCAATGAAAGGCTCGGCAGAAGAGTTTGCGAAGACTCTTCGGCTTGCGAATATTCCTCCGATGCGAAAATTGAAGGACCCCGTTTCCATATCTGCAGCGACGAAACAATCAGAAATGTGCACGCGTATGTAAGGCGTCTTTTAGAGTAATGCGTCCGACACCTGCCTTGAAATTAATGCTTCACGCGCCTTTCGTTGAACGAAAAGCGCGAAATGGTGCAATGCTCCAACCCCGTCCCCTTCAATAGAATAACAACCAGTGACGAGCAAGGGCCTGCTGCGAGCGCTGGCAATTCAAAGGCGTGGATAAAAACGCCATGACGCGCCTCACCCTAGCGTTGTGTCAGGGCGCGCTGACGCAAGGAACTTCGTCACGCACATTGTACAGATAAGTTTGCGCAAGCACTGCGCAGACTTATCTGCACAGTGTGCGCTTTTTGGGGGTGTCGTTCCCAATCCAAACATGGTGCATGCTTCCACAGGGGCATCTTGCTTTCCTCGTGTCGAAGCGGTCAGATGTGTGCCATTCTTCCCCAGACAATTGCCTGACATTAATATCTGGGTACACTCCACGCGGGAGCTTAACACATGTTCAACGTGTCTATGTCCCTAGCAACGGGAAGATCCGCACACTGGGCGGAAGAGACGTGTTCCCAGAAGTCGACGTCATCTCTCAGTTGCAACTGGAGTACAAGTTTGAGGTTTTCGATTCTTCCTCGTCTGTAAAATTGATATTCCCAGGTTTGAATCGGACTGTCTATAAAGGCGAGATTGACAGAGGCCCGTTTGTTTTCGTGCATGACAAGAACAACCAGTTTCTCTTCGCCTCCGATATCTACCCGCAAACTCGCACTCTGACGAAAGGCGAATACTCTGTGACTGCGTACCTGCGCCACGACCGGGTCGATCTACTTGAGGGACTTCGAGAAGAAAAGTCAACTGTAGAATTTAAGCTCTCGTCTGAAATAGTTCTGGAAGCATTCCCGAGCGCCCTTTCGGCATAGATGGGCATCGAAGGTCGAAGGTCATCACGCAGTACGGCATCTCTTGAATGCGGGGAGCGAAGGGCTTTTCATTTCAGAGTACCAAAGAAATCTGCGCTTCCCAAGTGGATAGCTGGGGGAGACAGTGCAGTTGGGAAAATGTCTGTGGATATATTGCTGAATGGAAGCGGAAACAGCATGAGAAAAGGTAACGATATCGCCCATACAAGTTGTCTCTCGCGATCGGCCCGAATGCAGGCAGTTTGCAAACGGGTGACTCAGCGAGGACGCCTCTTCGGTCAAGTGAGAATGATGAGACGACTGAAATGGACAAAAACAGTGAAAAGCTCGAAGACAAAGGCAAAGGGGAGGAGCCTGATCGCAATGATGAGGACAAGGTGGGCGAGGACGCCTCTTCGGTCAAGTGGGAATGATGAGACGACTGAAATGGACAAAAACAATGAGAAGCTCGAAGACGAAGGCAAAGGGCAGGAGCCTGATCGCAATGATCAAGACAAGGTGGTTGACAGCGAAAAGGCAGAGCCATGTCAGACCACACAAGACAGGCTGTCCAAGACAGCCCAGAACTGACTACTTAATAGGACGACGGACATATCAAGTAAAACAAGGGATCACCGGTCTCGAGTTTCTCACAAGCCGAACGGAACAACCACGGGAGAAGTAAAGTTACTGTACTGCTGACGAAAAGCGGAATCGGCCAATCGCGATCACTCACCCGAATCCAGATTGCCCGATGGTAAACGATTGACACGTGGCCATTGTCCTCATATGAGGACATTTTATCATTATCCTCTGTCCCGTGGCAAGACGTGTGTAAAGGTAGGTGGCCCTAATTCTTGGCCACCGGTAGTAATTTAAAAAACAAAACTAGGAAATGAGCGCCGGAGAACATGGTTTCTGGACCGTTGGAATCGTGACTTGAAGCTCTATCAAAGTCCACCAATCGTTTCCGCTCAAGCGAAACGCCACCAAAGAAAGGTGACAGGCAACATTCCACACTGAAGCAAGGGAAATTTGGCAAAAAGTGCCTAAAGATCGGTCACTGATCGATCGGTCACTGATCGGAATTGGCCCGGTGGACTGCCAAAATTATGTAACGTTTATTGGATCCACGTCACTCACTCGATCCACCACCGCCTGTTGCAGCATCGTGTGCGCCACGTGCAGCATTGAGTTTGGCAGAAGCTCGTCGTTCTCCGAGGGGTCGCACATGATTTCTATATGTTTCTATCGATTCCGCACATTGCTTTGCCCTCCTCAGCTCCACAAACTCTCGCAGCAATGCCCTCCTTTTCTCCCACGCCACTACTTTCCTCTGTTCTACCAATTCCTTCTGCTTGGCGACCAATTTCGCCGATGCTGTGGCACGTCTTTTGCCATTGACATGCGCTTCAATCAGAGTCAGGGCATTCGCTGACGTCATGACTTGGCCGCATGTAGTGTCAACATATGCCCTTGACTGTAGAACCGCTTCTTCGCCAAGCACTTGTTCCCTCAGCACTGCCCTCTTCTTTTCAAATAAATCAGATAACTGGCCCTTATCCAGTATTTTTTCTAAACTTCCAGGCGCGGCTCGGCGTGGAACAGATAGGCGCTTGCGACTGTCGAGAGGCCATAATCCCGCTCTGCAAAATGCTGCCTTGATATTTTCCCAAGACAATGCTTTCTCATATGCATGCCTTATTAGCATGCACAATTTAAAGACATCCCAACTCTCACCTTCCTCCCTTGTAAGAACTGAATTCATCACTTTGTTCAGTTCTAGCTTGAACACACTGAACACTACCACGTCTAACGGTTGTGTCTTCCCGCTGGTATGGGCGGGCAAAGCGTACACGATGATGTTGCTTTTATGAAACAACTGTAGAACACCAAGTGATAAATGAGAGCGGTAAGCATCATAAATGAGCAAAACCGTCCTCCCATTTGCTGTCAAATCGCTAACACTGTCCACAAAACAGCGTGTCCAGTTGAGAAAATTCGTTTGATCAACGCCTCCGCCCTTCTCACTCAGTGCACCAAGAGAAACCCGCGGTAGTACGCATAAAGGTGTTTCTGACACCACAGTTCCATGACGCAACACATTCCTGAAAGGAATTGTTTTCCTTTAAAAACGAATAGACATGGCCCTGTACTGCCAGCTGCGAATATCGTGGGCATCATCGTTACTCTCTTGTCGTACGAGGAGTGGGGGACTTTTATGTCTTGCGAGCAACTGCGAGGCATCATTTTTCTTGATCTTGACCTGGCATTGACATCCTTGCCAGGTGTAACTCCACACTCGTCCAAATTCCACATACGTTCAGCGTCGATGTCGTATTCAGCAATTATTCTCTCAACGGTAGCAAAATGCGTAGCCAAGACCTCCCCACTACATGCGACGAATCTCTCGGCTTCTTGCTTTGTTGGTTTGGAAAATTTGATGAGTTTGTTGTGCCTCTTAATGAAGTTTCGTACCCACTTTCTACCCGGTTGTCCCTCGCGAAATGGCAGTAACGCTTGTCTTGATGGCGTCATGTGAGACACCATGATTGCGACGGCCTGTCTCACATGATGGGAGTCCATCGTTATTCCTTTGTTTGTGTAATCAGTAAGGAGAGCGAGAATTGGTTTCTCTTCTTGATCAGTTAGCGCGCGTGGTCGCCCAGCCTGCTTCGTAATTGTTTTGTTTAGCGTTGCTGCGGCGTACTGGACTGTGGACCGCGGAATTTGAAACCACTTTGCGGCATCTCTTGCGGACATTCGGCCTGCCCAGTACTCTTGAACCGCAAGACATTTGCGGTCTTCACGGCGCCGAGGTACATACGGACGGCTCATAATGTCGTCTTATGCTATCGCAGGGATGGAAAATTGAGGAGAAGGAACAAGAAAAAGTAGGGGAACAGTGAAAGGGGGGCAGCAATTTTAGTTTGATGCCTGCTTGTGAATGGGAAGGCGGGGTTTTGGCGACATTGATCCCAGAAACCCGCCCTCTCACTGTATTCATGAGGATCTAGGATCTGATAGATCGTATTCCGCTGTTTTGGACACAGCTGAATCGATTGGTCTGATTTGTTTTTGATTTCCACCACATGTTTTGGCACAAACGCATTCAGAAGAGATGAGAAGGGCCATTGTGTGGACCGAGAGTGCATAATTATTATAATTTTGATTATTATTACGTAACAAACAAGGTGGCCAAATGATTAGGGGCACTGGCCAAGAATTAGGGCCACCTACCTTTAGAAACGAGTATTGTGTAGAATTTTGCAGTGTGGGGGGGTAATTTTATTCAAATGTGAGGGGGGGCCGATACAGTGTTATGTGGGCGGACGTCAAGGATTCACACTTGTGGAGGACTGAGGGGGCCGACCCATGACACGGTACACGGGCAATGGTGGCAGCGGCGACACTGGACCAAATGGCAAAGCTGAGGCGCTGGGAGAGGCGGGGTCTTGGCGACCCCAAACGTGCAGCCAGAGCGGATGTTAATTTTGTGTGCGATGTCTTCGAGGACTGCGGTAGTTCGGGCGCTCCAGGCGCCTAATGTATCAAAGGCAAGGGGGACGAAATGCCAGTCTAATAGAGGTAGCAGAGCGTTGGACTGGAGGTGTAGAGCAGCACGTAGAATACGGTCGTGGTGGCGAAGTTTTCTTGAATGGGCAACCTCAGCGGCCCCGACGATGGACCGAGCAGCGGGATGAAGGTTAGCAGCGGTGTAAGGGTTGCAAATCGTCACGTCGTAGGCTGTAGGGCGGTCAGGGAGTGCGCCTGCGGGGGGACAAAGGTGGTTGCACGAGAATGTCCGCGGGGGCGGAGAGCAGTTCCGGGTATGAGAAAGGGAACTTCGCGGTCACAGGCGAGGCCGGCAGCGCGAAAAGCCTGGCGAGCGAGAGTGTTACGGACGATGTTATGGCGATGCACGGCACCATAGCCATGCTTGCAGTTCGCGGCGTGGTCACCACGCGCGTCCATCGTACGGCCGCAGTGCGAACAGCGATCAGAGGGACGCCTCGGACACCTGTCCCAGTACAGTAGTACAGTACCTGCCGCCTAGTGCGTGCCGGGTACTGTACACAATTAAAAAGCTAGCGCCATAATTACTACTACCGCACGGACGCTGCTACTACACGTGTGCATTACTGTACAC